CCCCCCCGCCCCCCCTTCGCCCCGGCACCGCCGCCCGGAGCTGCCAGCTTTGGGAGCCTCAGCGCCTCGACTTTCTTCGCTTCTTCACCCTTCTTGGGCGAGCCCCCCCTTCCACTTGCTTTTTTCTTTTCCTTCTCGCTTTCCTCCTCAAGGTGTGTGCTCCACTCCCCCCACCTTTGAAAAATATAGCCCAGTTCCTCCTGGTTGGCAATTAATTTCTCCCCCCGCTCCTTTATCTGCCTTACCCCCCCCCCAACAGCTGGTTGCCTTCCTCCTTGTTTTATTTCATTTTATTTTATATGAATTCTCGTTCTAAAAAAAAAAAAAAGCTCCTCTAAGACACTGATCCGCTGAATTCTCGCCCCCCCAAAAGATGCTCTAATTTATTTATTTTTTGCGTCCTTTATAACACAAGCCACAGCCCCCTTCGCCCCCCCAAAGTCCCCCCTCCCCTCCCTCCTTCACAAAATGAAAGGAAAGAGGGGGGGAAAATCCCTCAGAAGATGAGTAAACAAGCGTATGCTAATCTGCTCCCAAGCGCTCCACCTTCCCAATTGAATGAGTCCCTGTTAAAACTGCGGGGATCATGACTAATCAATCAGTTTGGAGAGGCCGAGCTACCCAGCCTTCCTCCACTTTGCCGTTTGCCTCCTTTCCTTCCCTCCGCTTCTCCACCCCTCCTTTTCCTTTTCCTTTTTTTTTTTTTTCAGAAGACAATCTTAAAGTAACAATTTAATGAAATTCTGTACACACCCCCTTACGGTCCTTCCAGCTCTGCTCATTCCTGTTCAAAACACACATTCCTGTTCTCGTTTTAGTTGCTTATTTCCCCCCTCATTCACCCCCTCTCCCCTTACATTAATAATAATAATAATAATAATATCCCCCACCCCCCACCCCAGAGAAAAATCTCCCTCAGGAACCCTTTGCACTTTGCTGGTAAACCTCATCCTTCTGTATAGTACAGAAAGTCTTGAAACTTGATTCTCAGAATTTTTGATGCTGTCTCTACATCCTTCCTTCACCTCTCCCCCTCTTTACCCCCTCTCCCCTTCTCCTGTCTCCCAGTCCCCTTCTCCCCTATTTCTTTTTCCTTCCCTGTCTTTTAATCCCTTTCTTCTTCCTCCCTTAGAATTTCCTTCAAGTTATGCACTGATGAAGGTCGTCCCCTTTCCCCGAGCCCCGGGTTCTGCCCTCTTTAGTCCAAATATTGTTTCTCCAGGAATCGCTGAAGAAAACAGAGAAAAGACAGTTTCCGAGGCATTTGCCTGTCAAAGCTGTAGACTCAACACAACTAGGTTTCTTTATATTCCTGAATACTCTTAAAAAATATTCTGCTGGTTGTTAGAAATTGCTTTAGTTTCATATATATAAAAGAAAGAAAGAAAAATGTTTAGAAATTGGTCTCTTTTTTTCTACCTAAGAAATACAGGTCTTCTGACATTGTTCAAATCACAGGTAAGGAAATGACTATTAGCTGCTTTGTAGACATGTTTTCAACTGGGACATATATGCAATATATTTTTGTTCTTTTCTTTCCCACTTTATAGAACTCAAAAGCTCCCCCTTATGGCAAAACTGTTCTTTTTCCCCCCTCCAAGTATTTAATAAGTCAAAATGAGTTAGCAGTGGTGGATTACAAATTATTAGTTACTAGCCTGTTCAAATAATGCAGTGATAAGAAGATGCTCTGGTGAGGCTTGCCTGCCAATGGTGTGCTGGAAGTCTGGGGTGAAACTGACTGACTTCCCTCCCTCTGTCTTCAGGGCTGTCTTCAGGGCTGCTCCAGACCCTTCCCAAGAGTTGGGATGGTTCCTGCATGCTTCAGGCAGAGTGAACACCAGTAGAGAATATTTGTTGGTGAAAGTATGCAGATTTGTAGAATGAGCAAATGACTCAGACATCCCCTCTATAAAAGCCGGAATGTGGTATGCAGGGATTATGGCGCCATTCTGAAAACAGGAGATCTAGATTCAGAGCTGCTTGGTTTGGGAAGAACTTGCTGTAGAATCTTAGGCCAAGAATATTTGAACTCAGTTTCTCCAGTTGTAAAATAAAAATGGTATTCTATCCTAAATGTGTTTCCAGAGACTGGCTGAAAGGAGGATCTTCGATGCTCAATGCCGTGGCTAAGGAATCTTGCCTGAGTGAAGCTTTCACTTTTTGCGACTTCAAGTCATCTATAAAAGTCATGACGTTGGCATTCACAACAGCAACAACAATAGAAGACCTGTTTTGAACTGCACAAATTCTATCTGACAAAGCCCCTTTTTCCCCAAGGGAGATTGGAACGTGACTACCAACTAATTCAGGGCAGTGTGGCACTTCAGCACTTGGAAACTGCATTTCCTGCAGGAACTTCTAAGTCACTGTATGTACCACTTTCAAGTCTCCTACACTTTTGGAACTTTGTAAACTTTTCCACAAAATGTCAGAACATGAGGGTTTACTGCTACACCCCCATTCAACCCAACACAGAGCTCAGAGCTATCCCCCAAGTGAATCTCCTACTTCACTGGCCCTCTACTTCCTTGCCCTCTGCTTCATTTACAATGGGAGTATTTATTTGCAAATTAATTTTGAGAATAAAATACACATTGGGGTATAATGCTTTGGAAACTCTAAAAAATGCTTTATAAATGTCATCTGTTCTATTTTTGTTTTGGAGGATGAAATGCTCCTTAACATCTTAAAGATAAAATTCTAGGAGGTTAATTTGTATGTCTCACCTGTCACAGGTAGAACAAGGAGACAGAGACCCTTGTCTCAGAGCTTCTTGAGTTGCTTGACCGCAGTTCTTAAAGGAGTCAGGAGCGATTGGCAAAGCCTCCCCTGGTCTTCATAGAACACGTAGTTATTATTTGATTCCACCTGTCTAAAAGCCAGCTGTGCTTTCTCTTTATGTATGTGTGACCTGTTTGTTTTTAATTGAGTAAATAAAACAGAGTGAATTACAACTCTTGGTTCATGACCCACTATTAGTCTATGTGCAATGGTCTTATTTAATGTCATAAATAATATCGCATATGCTCCTATCCCTATTTCACCCCATCCCTTGATCTTTTGTGATCTGTCCCCTCGCCTTTCACCACTGGTGGTAAAAGAGCAATCAACGGCCCTCCCTGGTGGTGCAGTGGGTTAAAGCACAGCACTAAGAAGCTTAAGCCACTTCCTCATGGGTTCGATCCCCGCCTGCCCCAGAGGAGGATCCACATGGGGAGGCAGACCTCTCCTGATCCGCCTGCCGCTACCCTCAGCGGTGTACTTCATAGATCTGCCTGTTCTGCTCCCCTCTCTGTCTCTGGTGAATCCTTTCACCCTCTGCATCTCTGACCTGTACCCCAGTTCTATATGAATAAATAAATAAATAAATAAATAAATAAATAAATAAATAGCAATCAACTGAACACTAGGAGACCTGGTTTCTTATTCTCCTATGTGTGGGATCTTTGACTTTAGTTGGCTTTCATGGAAAATGAACAGGTGTTGAAGATTTCTTAAATCATTTCCTAATCTGAAGGGAAATAGAACCTCCATTCTACGAGTTTAGCAATTATGCTTGTCGAATTATTCCATATTTGCTTAATTCTCTCCCACCTCCATGGAGTCCCGTTTTTCTGGGATTTTTGTCCTAAAAATCTGCTTTTTTAAGTTATGTCCTACAAAAGTAGTTTTTAAGACAAAAATACTTCTGTTTCTACACTATTCTACACTATATTCTAAGATATACTCCCTCAAAATTTATTTCATTTGGTAATAAACAAAGCAAAATGTTTTTCCAGGGAGGGAGTACGGTTCCCTGGAAGCTGGGACAGTAATAGCCCAGTGCAGCCCTGCAGACTGAGAAGGAGGGAGTGCATACAGCCTGATACACTTCCCAGTTAGTTCTCTGATCTTTGGCAAAGTATTTAACCTTGTTGAGTCTGTGACTTTATCTTGGTGTTGTCTAGAGGATCGTGTACAATACAAGTAGGTGCTTAGTACATCTGTCCCCTCTCTTTTCCTTCCCTGGGATCTAAGTGTATGACCCTTTGGACCTTCCTAAACTCTTATCGAGAGCCGAGCTACATCTACTCCTTTCTTCAAGTATATTCTTCTCAGAATCCCCAGGCAAGCCTTATCTGTCTGGTGGAATCTGAAAATGGATGAGATAGGATCTTGCCTTCTTTTAGCTTCCTGTTTAACTTAGTCCTCCAAGATTAGAAATTTCAAGGCAAGGACCTTCAAGGACCAGTTCTGTCATCACATTCCTCCCCCACCAACCTCAAGTGCTCCCTCCTCTGGGCTCTCGTAGAACTTGCTCTAAATTTCCATGGGCCTCTCCAGGGCTTCCTATCACACTCAGGGACCTATCTGCCCCCTCCACTTTCTACGTGAGACAGAGGTTCTGTTGCCTCATATTTGTGTTTCCACAAATATGTGTATATATGTGTATATAGTTGCTGGGTGGATGGAGGTGAAAGGGTGGTATGGAGGGAAGGAAGGGAGAAGAAATGCGAGCTATATATTTAGCTTCCGTTTTTCCTCTGATGCTGAGCACAGTGTAGTGCCCAGGGCTATGAGCATGTTAAGCTCTTAATAAATAATCTTTTCACTTTTCCAGTTTTCCCTTTCCCAGATGATGCACTTGTGGATTCTCTGACAGCTGTACCCATTGGCCACTCAAGAGAGGGTCATTAGAAAGAATGTGGACATTGGAAAAAGAGCAATTGGA